AATGGGAGACTTTTAAAACTGAAAATATGAACATTGCACGTTGTGATTTAAGACTATTAAAGTATTGGACGTGTCCTAATGTTTCTCTTTTAAGACTGAACTGCTAAGTTCTTCTTAAGTTATTAAGAATAGGAATAAGCTATTGCTTAACCACATGTTTGCAACCTTTTCACTTATTAAGTTTATTTAATTTAGTTTTATATTATTATTATATTATAATATTATTATATTAGTCAATTAATAATAGATTTATTTTTGCTTTGATGCTGCTATGAATATAAATGTATATTATCTGTTATATGTAAATGTTCCAGCCTGAGTAAAATGTTTAATTCAATCTTCACATATAGCTGGTATGTTGTCTATAAACGCAATCAGATTTATCAATTATTATTTACTGATCTATTATTGTTTTCAGTTTCTCCATTTGAATGAATTAGGACTGGCCTACCGCAACCTAATTGGTGGGTTTAATTTAATATCTGACACGTCTTTAAAACAGCGCATGGAGGTTGGGGACAGTACCCTTGGACTGGGCAACTAGGGTGGTGGTTCCCATTTTTAAGAAGGGGGACCGGAGGGTGTGCTCCAACTATAGGGGGTCACACTCCTCAGCCTCCTGGGGAAAGTCTATGACGGGGTACTGGAGAGGAGGATCCGGCCAATGGTTGAACCTAGGATCCAGGAGGAACAGTTTTCGTCCGGGCCGTGGTACACTGGACCAGCTCTATACCCTCACCAGGGTGCTCGAGGGTTCATGGGAGTATGCTCAACCAGTCCACATGTGTTTTGTGGACTTGGAAAAGGCATTTAATCGTGTCCCTCGCAGAATTCTGTAGAGGGTGCTCGGGGAGTGTGGGGTCAGAGGCGATCTGTTGAGGGCCGTCTCGTCCCTGTATGAACGGAGTAGGAGTCTGGTTCGCATTGCCGGCAGTAAGTCAGATTTGTTTCCATTGCATGTTGGACTCTGGCAGGGCTGCCCCTTGTCACCAATTCTATTCATAATTTTTATGGACAGAATTTCAAGGCGCAGCCTTGGGCTGGAGGGGGTCCGGTTTGGGGAACACAGGATTACATCTCTGTTATTCGCAGATGAGGTTGTTCTTCATGTTCTTCATCAGACATGGACCTTCAGCATGCACTGGGGCGGTTTGCTGCCGAGTGTGACACGGCTGGGGTGAGAATCAGCTCCTCCAAGTCCGAGGCCATGGTGCTCCACCGGAAAAAGGTGGTTTGCCATCTCAAGGTTGGAGGAAAGTCCTCACCCCAGGTGGAGGAGTTTTAGTATCTTGGGGTTTTGTTCACGAGTGAGGGAAGGATGGAGCGTGAGATTGACAGGCAGATTGGTGCAGCGGCAGCAGAAATGCGGTCAATGTACCGGTCCGTTGTGGTGAAGAAGGAACTGAGCCGAAGGGCAAAGCTCTTGATTTACCGGTCAATCTACATTCCTACTCTCACCTATGGTCTTGAGCTTTGGATCATGACCGAAATGACAAGATCTCGGATACAAGCGGCCGAAATGAGTTTCCTTCGAGAGGTGGCAGGGCATACTCCTTTTAGATAGGGTGAGGAGCTCTGACACCCGGGAGGAGCTCGGAGTAGAGCCGCTGCTCCTCCACATCGAGAGAAGTCAGCTGAGGTGGCTCTGGTATCTATTTCGGATGCCTCCTGGACGCCTACCTAGGGAGGTGTTCCAGGCATGTCCCACCGGGAAGAGGACTCGGGGTAGACCCAGGACACGCTGGAGGGAATCTCTCGGCTGGCCTGGGAACGCCTCGGGATCCCCCCGGAGGAGCTGAAGGAAGTGTCTGTAGATAGGGAAGTCTGGGGTTCTCTCCTAAGACTGCTGCCCCCGCGACACGGCCCCGGAAAAGCGGCAGAAGATGAATGAATGAAAGATGAATTTAATATCTGTACTACCTTTAGTTAATAATGTTACAAATGAAGTGATAATCTAACATTACTAAATTAAAATGCAATCTTCTTGGTGTTATTTTGCAACAGTAAATTTTTATAATGATTTAGTTTGATAAATAAGACTTACATACAGCATTGTTATTCTATTTTATTTAAAATGAATATAAAATAGACATAAATGTTTTGTTCATGAATAAAATACCTTTATAGAAAAAAACTAACTAAGCAGAGCTCAAAACTAGCAGAGAACTGAACGGTAGAAAGTGAATAATATGAATGTGTTTGTCAATCAGCTGTCCACTGTAAACAACCACAGTAAAACACCCACAGTCTGATTCATTTCTTATTCTTCGGGACACAAAGAAATAACAAAAATACATTTGACATGATAAATGTTCAGCACCCGTGTAAACATCTGAACTCTTTATTTGACAAATGCTGACAGGTACATACCAACTTCATCCGCTGTGAGGACAGCGACGCCAAGCAATACATTCCGTCTAAAGTCCCGTTTTCTTGGTTCAAGTGGAAATCTGGCTGATCTATACATTTTTTTAGATTGTTGTCACAGTCTAACCATTTCTGTAGTAAATATACAGCTGACTGGGTGAGTTCTCCATGTGGAGTTCTGTGTAGGCGGAAGTAACGACACACTGCGTGAAGTGAAAACGTGAAGTGAAAAGGGTCTATTAACCTAGTGAAGCCTTTAAATGTCACTTTAAGCTGAACACTAGTATCTTGAATAATATCCAGTCAAATATTATGTACTGTCATCATGACAAAGATAAAATAAATCAGTGATTAGAAATGAGCTATTAGAACTATTATGATTAGAAATGTGTTGAAGAAATCTCCCCATTAAACTGAAATTGGGGGACAAAATATACAGGAGGGGCGAATAATTCTGACTTCAACTGTGTGCAAATGTGTTGTAGGAGACTATATTAGGACACTTTTAAATACCATGTGACCTGCTCTTTAAACACATTTAAAAAAAAAAGCTATGGTGTACAGTGCGAGTGGTGTGTTTGTGTGAAGTATCAGGATGAAGGAGAGTGGTTTAGTGGACATCCGTCCGTCTCTGCACTGATGTTTCTGTTACTCTGAGAGCGAGACAGCAGAACCGACAGCTGCATGTAGCTCTGGCTCCGCCTTCCCCTCGGCCAGCTGCCAGCTGATTGGAGAAAAACAGCTGTCAATCACCTCAGAACAATCCAGACACAAACTAAAGTCAGAAGCGGTTAAATGGATGTAACTCGAGGATTCTAACGTGCCAGATTGAGCTTTGTGTTCGGCGAAAACATCCTTGCTGCCGTTCCAGTAGTGAGCCGCCATCTTCCCGTGATAGTCCCTGATGTTGACTTTGGCATCTGAGGAGAGAATCAGATCATACAACAGAACTTTCGCATGGACGTGCTTTAATTATTAGCTGTTCACATCACATCATAGCCGGTGCTGTATTTCTGTGAACATGCTCAAATGCAGCCATTACTACACTACATCCAACTATCCCTTTAATACATGTCAACCAGGGCTTGACATTAACTTTTTTGACCACCAGCCACTGTGTCTAGTAGATGTCCAACATTATTAGCCACTCACCATTTTCACAAGCCACAATTTTGTTGTTGTGAAAATATATTTTATTCGCATAAATGTGACTTTGACATGTTAAATGACTTGATGTAAATGTTGTGTTGTCCACATGCCTCCTCATTCATTTCACTTTGTGTGTGTGTGTTGTGTATGAGCTTGCTCATTGTGCATAAGCAAATGGGTTGTCAATGCAATTGTTTTTTATTTCACATGACTTTTTTAGGGCTGAAAATTAAAAATGTACCAAATTTATCGCTGACCACACCAAAAAGAAATAATTGTTTCTTTGCCACAAATTTTAAATGTGTCAAAACAAGCAAATATATAGCTGCATACATGCACTTTTTATTCAACAAAACTTTTTAATTGACGTTTAAAAGCATATATTGTCATGTATCTAAAATATGCACAGTAATCTGTCCTGGCTAAAGGTCCCAGATCAGCAGTTAACTACACTTCAAAGGGGAGTTATTCTCATAATGAAGCAATGTTATGCTGCTGCTTACAAAAGGATGTATGTATATTTGTTTCAATCGTGTGCTTTTGAAAGCACCAGGGCTGTGGGTATATATATTTTTGTCTATTTATTTTTAAAGAGATCCGATCGCACCAGTTGCGCTTCCTCTACACGCGGTTGTTTTGCGCAAGTAAGTTGGAGCGTGCACGCTTATTACAGTCGCGCGCATCACATCACCAGTGCGAGTAATCAACCTCTCATAAGTTATTAACCTGCTTTTGCTCACGCGAACACAGTTATCTTTGTCAGTCGTGCTGCTTCTCGATTCTAAGATTACATTTTGGGCCATCCTTATAGCCGGACCCTGCTTTAAGAAAACTACAAATGTAAATTATTTCCAACCAGCCAACGTGGCTAGTGGAGGTGGCTGTCTAACCCGCCAGAGCTGAAATCTACCCGCATTTGGCGGGTTGGTGGGTGTTAATGTAAAGCCCTGATGTCCTGAACTAAACCCACACACAACCCTGCTGACATTATTAATGTTATCTATTCTCTTTTTACTGTAATGTCTTTAATTTTCTCCTCTCCAAATTCAAAACTCAAACTCAATTTAGAGATGTGCATTCAATGGCCACAACACACACACGCTCACATCATTACATTCATATACACTTACCTCAGGTTGTGCTTTTGTTTTGTCATGTTTACTCTCAAACCTGCTCTGTGCACATTGTCTATGTTAAAAAGCCGTTGGATAACCCTAATATTTACTAAAAGTAAAGCATTCAGTGTGTTTTCAGTGCAGTGACTTGCTCGGGAGCTCGCACTGGCTTTATATGGACTGGTCTGGGATCTGCTGTGGTTAATTAGAGCCGGAGCTGATCTGAATCTTCTGAAGGCCCCTGGGGGATCTGGGATAATTATTTGAGATAACGGCTGAAGAGGCGACTGTGTATTTAAAAACATAAAGACGGGGAGAAAATGAGCGCAGGAAAGGTCAACATCTCCTATTTTCATGCAGAGTGTCAACAGCCTGTTCAGAACCAGCGCTTGCTATTCAGAAATGACCGATTCTGAGCGCCGCCTTTGTCTGATCAGTGAATGACTGTGCGCGGATGCCAGGTTTTGTCCGGCACTTTTGTTGACGCATTTGAAGCCGTGTATTTTAGCTGTTTAGGATTTATAAGTCAAATGAAGTTATGATGAGTATGTTTTACTCCAGAATACACTGATGAAAAGGATTTGCTGGATTTACTGGTGTTTTTTAGGGAAGGTGTTTACAAACCGTTTATATGGGCTGAATTTAAACAAGCAAATGTAGTTGAACATGGCCACATTTAATTCGTTTAAACTCAGCCCGTATAAATTTCCTGCAACCACTTGTAGATGAAAATGGGCCAAAAAAAAGGTCTGTAAGAACTAAATAGATTTCCATTTCCATTTAGTCATTTAGCAGATGCTTTTATCCAAAGCGACATACAAATGAAGACAAGGAAGCAATTTGCACAACTATAAGAGCAACAATGAAGAAGTGCTGTAGGCAAGTTTCAGGTGTGTAAATTGTAAGAAGCAAAACATTAGTAATTATTTATTTTGTATTACAGTTAGCGGTAGAACCAAAGAGGCAATTGCAGATTAGGAAGGAAAGTGGAGACTAAATTCGCTTTGGATAAAAGCGTCTGCTAAATGACTAAATGACTAAATGTAGTTGAGTTTGTAGTCGTTTCTTGAAGACATCGAGTGACTCTGCTGTTCTGATGCAGTCAGGGAGTTCATTCCACCAACTGGGCAGATTGAGCGCGAGAGTTCGGGAAAGTTATTTCTTCCCTCTTTGTGATGGAACCACGAGGCGACGTTCATTCACAGAACGCAAGTTTCTGGAGGACACATACATCTGCAGAAGCGAAAGCAGATAAGAAGGAGAAAAGCCAGAAGTCACTTTGTAAGCAAACATCAGAGCTTTGAATTTGATGCGAGCAGCAACTGGCAGCCAGTGCAAACGGATGAGCAGCGGAGTGACATGTGCTCTTTAGCAACGAGACCAGCAGCGTGTAAGTACATTTAGACTTATTTTCAATTGTTTTAACCTAAAATACTAGTGTTTGTAGTAGAGGTCTGTATTACCGCAACTGTACCGTTGGATCTGTGGGTCTAGGGTTGTGCTATGTTAACAAATTTGGCATCGAATGATGTCTAATGTGAAACATCACAATGGACAATGGTATCGTCGTCATAGGCGGCGGTGAATTATTTATGAATAATGATTTAATTCATAAAAAATTAATTATTTGAAGCCTACCGTTTCAACTAAAAATGAAAATGTTTCCTCTAAAATAATCTGTTACTAATTCAAACCTGTGCCCCCCCCCCTTTTCCCTTTGTAATTATTATTATTTTTGCTTTTGTTCTTTTATTTTTCTATTATTTTTGTTTTCCCCTAAATTGAAAACAGATGTAAATATGATTGTGATGTTATATTTTCATATTTTTATTACATCTCAGTAAAGAGATCGTTAAAAAATTAAATTAAACAAAATTCACCGCCACCTACGCCATCGTCCATCGCGATGTTTCACATTAGACATCACACGATGCCAAATTGGTCGACATTACTCAATCCTAGTGTGCACTGTTTACTAATAAGCCATCGTGACCTCTAGGCTTCTCTCAAAGCTCCTCCAGTATATAAATGTATACAGACGTCTGCCTGCTTCCCAGCCGCTTCTATTGAATTATATATGACCTGCTGAAGCTCAGTCTGTTTTACAGCGTGTTCACCTTTACAGAACAAGCCAGAAGATCCTAAACAACAGCTCAAATGCTGACGAGTCGACAGAACAACTAACTCTCATCACTGCAGTTGAGCTCCCGCGGCTCCTAAATATCGACAGCGGACGCGAATTGATAACAATAAACTAATAAACTGCAGTTTCAATAAAGAGCGAGACGTTGAGTGTGATTTGCAGCAGTCCAGCGGTTATACGATTAGCCGCGCGTCTGGAGGAATCCTGTGTGCTTTAATAGAGCTGTCGGCCGCTGCGAGAGGCTTATGTTTCCAGCCGTAATCCTATAACGCTCTTCGACTATATTGCTTAAGGCTCTGCACGCAGTCAGCTGCTAACCGAGTTAAACTATCTGCAGATCCCGAACCCATGTGATCAGATGCAGCGCAGTGATGATGGAGCAATCAGTAGTGCTGCGTTCACACTGGCATGCTCATGGCACTGTCCTGCTACTCAGAACTCTGCACTTTGTAAATGATGTGCAGGGATTTTAATAATAAGATTGATTTTTTGTTAGTTTTTCCTCTGGTGAGACTCTTTACAAATAAGTTTAGGCATGCATTTGAAAAATTAATAATGAAGGCTTAATTCAGAGCTCTGAAGATCCTCGAGAAATTTGTATACAGAAAATGGTAATGCTTTAAAATAACGGTCCACTAGTGAATGCATGTTTTATTAGCATGAACAATCTTTTACAGCATTTATTAAAGCATTATTAAAATCCAAAGTCCTGCCTGTTTACATTAGTCATAGCACTCTGACTTAAGTAATAATTAACAACCTTTTCCATTAATAACTAACATTAAAGATGATTAAGTGCTGTAATCTTGTAATCCCTGACAACAGGGAGTGTGGATCCAAATGCTGAATCTGAATCTAAATCTGATGTGGTCTGGCGGCTCCTCTTTTAGTCACTATTGCTCCAAAATCTCTCTCCCAATTGTCTCCCAAATGAAGTGAAAGAATTCGCCAGCATTCGTGTTTTTAAAAAGTGTCTTGAGATGCACCTCTTAAAAATCGCATATGAATATAACAGCATGCCAAGTGTGCATTTTTATGTGTATTATGTAGGTGTATGTAGGCATGTACAGTGTGTGCATGTACATGCAAATGCAGTGTTCGGCAAGCTACTTTGTAAGCTATTGTATTTAAAATGTAGCTTAACTACAACACTTGACAACTCTTCATTAATGAATTACACTACAAAATGTAGTTTCATTAATAACAATCATGGACTAATAATAGTTACCATAGTATACTTCAGCCTTTACTACAGTAA